CAACCTAATAGCGATGGCCTCCAACCTAATAGCGATGGCCTCCAACCGATGGCCTCCAACCTAGTCAAAAAAGGGCTCTCGGGATGCACCTCTTGGACATCTGCATTTGCCTTGTCCGCAGACTTCCGTATCTTGTCGGCCTCAGCCCGCTCCAGCACTAACAAGCCGAGGTCCGAGAGGATCCTTGGGGGTTTTGGTATTTCAGTGATATGATATGACCCATGAACAGCTCTGATGGCCCTTCCATCCGAAGCCAAGCCACCTCAACTAAACAAGGTGCTTCCTAGTAACTCGGCATCATCATGATGTGTCATGTATTGTAGATGTCATGACGTGGTTGTTTGTGCTACAAAAAGAGTCTCCAACGCGCAAACCACACACCAGACGGTGCCTCGCTCTGCACAGCATCCTTTTCCTTCTTCAAGGCTTCAACTTGCTCACGATACTCACCTCAACTCGTCTCCGAGAGCAGAACTTCTTGGAACCATGAGGTCCAGATTCGGCGCGCTTTAAAGCAAAACGAAGGTCGGCATTCTAAACAAGCCAGCAATGCTTCGTGTCTTCTCTGCGTCTTGGACGGCCTAACAATGATTCAAAGCAGGCTTAGTAAACGCTTCAATGCCGGTATCAAAAACTTGAAGATCTCCTCTGCCGTTCAACTTTAACAAGAGATATCAAGAGATAACAAAAGAAGGTACCATGTGACGTCTCCCAAATTATTGTGGTTTCTGCTGGGTTGCATGCGCAAAGTGTGATTTTCGCAAAATGCCGCTTTGTGCTTCACGCTGTCCCCAGCTCCACGCCCAAGTAGCGGAGAGGAAAATCGCAAAAGAAACCAGATTGGATCGCCGAAGCTGGCAGTGTTGCGGATGTCAAACGCATCCGGAAACACACATGTCTTTGATCGACACCCACGTGTCCACTTGGGAGCAGCCGGCTAATGCATTTGCTAGCTCACATCTCAATGCCTTGGGCGGCCGATACCCAAACTCAACGGCAAAACATTGTCATCGTGTCGTTCGTTTCTCCAATGCAAACTGTGCAAGTAGGCGGCCGCCCAATTCTCAAATTCACAGCTGCGTGCTGCACGCAGCCTGAATCCTGACCAAACCGCCCCATCACCAGGCATCCATCAAGTCATGTCAAGTTTGCAAGCCCCTTTAATGCATTGAGGCTAGATCTGTTTCGTGCTTTTGAGAGAACTAAATGAACTTGTGCTTCCTGGTGCTTGCGACATCTGCCTGGCGGGCGAAGCCGGGGGGTCCAAGCGGAAGTTGCGGGAGAGGCCCTGCTCTTCGCGAGCATAGCCTGGTCATGGAACCGTTGGTCGTGGCAGCGGTTTGTTCAAACAAATGCAAACTTCGGGGTTTGTCACTGGGGCAGTGGCCAATAGCATCCTTCACCTGGGTAAAGGGAACAATAGAGTACAAAATGAAACAAGAAACTACTAGGTTGAGGCCATCGCTACTACGCCGGAGGCCATCGCGACTTGACATTAGAAGCTGCTAGGGTTGTATGAACCTCTACAAACTCTGGAACTGCGAAGCCAGAAGACATTTCAAGACCTTTCCTACCGAGGAGCTGCGAAGAAGAAGGCACCTCCCAGCAGCTGTGCCTGGGATAACGCTTCAAAATTGCGAAAGTGAAATACAGGTTGTTGCCTCGTTCCCTACTAGGTTGTATACTGCAACACTGGCTGTCACAGGTGAATGGCACTCCGTGGCACCCTGTTTCGCCATGGTGCAGGCTCACCGGAAGCTTTGGATCCCAGAACAGGTGCTGAAGGCGTCTGGCAAGGCAACAGCTCCACATCGAGACGTACCTGAGGCGGAGTCGGAGTCGAAGGTTGCAAGATTTAAGAGTGCATTTTAAGGTTGTCCATTTGCTTCTGAAATCTGAGGCGCTGGGATATCATTCCCGCTTGGTACCTTGTAGTCCTTGGCTGAGGCTACAGCTGAGTGAAACTCAGTGACAGGATGATTCTGATATGACCAGTTGGTGTTCAGTTCAAATCCAACATTGGACGGCTTGAACAACTTCAGTTTCTTTGCCAAATTCAGAAACAAAGGTCCCTATATATATATATATGTGCCTATGGTGTAGCAACCACCGTGCTGATGCCAAACAGCTGGACGACTTACAACCAGCACATGCGTGGCTTTGCCGCTCAAGGCTGAGATTCCCAGGTGCCACAATTGACGAGGCGTCCATCCTTGCCGCGGGTTTCCTCCTTCCAGTGTGGATCTGTGAAACTACGTGAAACTCATCCACAAAAAAGGGGCCTGAGGTCTGACCCACACAGTGGCTTTCATTGTTTCTTTTTCCTTTGTTTATTTTGCAATCGCATTTACCTTTTTTGTGTGTAGGGAGGTTCCCAGCAGTGCCTCTTCCTTGCACAAAGTAAAGGGACGGGTGTGCTGCAAACATGTGCTCGGAAGCAAGGGTGTCACTCGTAAAAGTCAGATTTCATAGTTGCAGACTCCGCGGCTCGGGAGCGGCTTCTTAAGACAGCTACCGAAAGCCAGCAGCCAACAGAAGTTACAAGAAGCCACTGAAAGCAAACAGAAACCTCTAAAATCTCAGGAGATCTAAGAGAACCACCAAACGCAAGCCACCAAAAACCTAACCAACCTAATCAAACTGCAACCAAACACCAGCCCAACGCCAAGAGCCACATAAGCCATCAAAATCTACAGAAGCCACTAAAGGCCAACTACTAGTAGCTAGAAGCTACCAGGTTGGAGGCCATTACTACTAGTAGCTAGAAGATACTAGTAACAAGGGCATCGCTACTAGGAGCAAGAAGCTACTAGGTTGGAAATCAGCAGAAGCCACTGAAGGCCATTAGCAGAAACATTCAACCACATAAGCCATCAAAGGCTAAAGCCACTAGAAGCCGGAGAAGCCACCCCACAAGCAAACCAACATATCCCGCCCACGTCCCGCCAAATTTACCCAAAGGTTTCTTGCGTACTTTATGTTTATTTTCTGTTTAAAGCTGTCTTTTCTTCTAAGTTGTTCAGTTTGAACTCACGAGATCACCAAACGTTCGTCGCTTTCATTTCTGTCATCGATCTGCCGTTTCTGCTCCTCCAAGAGTGAGAAGCCCAAGGCTTGAATGAGGCTGCCCTGATCCCGTCAACAAGATTGTCAAGACTGAAGGCTTCATGAGCTCATGAAGGCTTCTTGAAGCCCTGCCAATGTATTCAAAGTCTTTTGAACCATAGGATTCCTTGAATCAAAGGAAAAGGACCATAATTAAGTCAACCATATACTTCCTTCCTAGGTGTGCAAGTTGCAGCATTGCTTTGGTTATGACATGACAATGATAGAATATCAAGAAAAAGGGCATGAACTATCTGCGCTCCACCTACACCCCAGGACATAGTGGGCGACACCTCGTAGTATAGTGGCTTGACTGGCATACATGTCTCCAACCTCAATCTGGCCAATGTCCACCGCCGGGTTCAGGCTCTTTCCAGAGTCCTCAGCATGCTCGGCGACCTCTAGGCAGTCTTGCTGGCATGTCCGCCGCAGGTTGTGGACTACATATTGTCCATTTCTTTTGCAGGCCTGTGGCAAGCTTAATTCCCAAGTCTTGCTCTTCATGTTTGTTGTCACGAATCACCATGCCAATAATTAGGCAACAAAGCGTTCTTGTTCACCGATGGTCAAAACCAGGATCTCTGGATGACATATCAGCCTGAACGCTCGTGGCCTAGGAAGCGAAAACATACCAAAACCGTCCCCACGTGTCTCCAGCCCACATGTCTGTTCTGATTTGACCGAAGGAGCGTAGACCAAGTCGAAGGAGTTCACTTGTGTCTCACCCGTCAAGACATCGATCTCTACCTCGCCACTCTGCAAGTATGTCTAAAACTTCTTCTGTTTTTCTTGATGTGACCATTAGACCTTAAAATAGACATTTCTTTCACTCTTGTTCTTCCTTTCCTTCTCCACTTAAGTTAGCTCGAGTTGTGAGGCTAGGCCTGGGCACAACCTGCGCTGAAGAGACTGTACTTCTCCCTCGGATGCCGTTCAGATCAGTTTTGAAAATCCAAGCTCCAAGCTTGGATTGCAATTCATTTCGTGCTAAGCTTCATAGCAGCTTGATCCGTGACACCGGCCTGCATTCAAAGTCTCGGAGCTGGAAGACGAACAAATGAACGTTCAAATGGAAGCTACTAGGGGCTCCTGGCTTTACTACTAGGAGCAAAGGACGCTACTAGTAACAAAGGGCATCGCTACTAGGAGTATGTTCAAAAACAACACGTTTGGCATTCCATGCTTAAGCGGCTTACGGCAAAAAGTGCCTTTTGAGACAGCAAGTCTAAAGCTCCTTCTGGATGCTTTGTTTGCGCTTGAAGCAATTTGCTTGTGCAAGAGTTGTAGATAGTTGTAGGTAGTTACAAGTAGGTCCACCAATGTTGCAACAGCGCCAAGCTTCGCCTGTGAGAGTTGGGCACCACCTTTGGTAGCCAAGGAGATGACCTTGCACACTCTTGGAGCACTGTGCATTGTGTAGACCGTGCGCACCAAATCTGGAAAACCCAAAATCTGCGTGGAAGTCTTAAGCCTGTGTGGAGCACTGCACGAAATCACGAAGCCTTGCCTGTACCTGGACCTTGTTTCTTTTGCTTTGCTTCTTTTAAGAAGACTTGCCACGGCATGTGGATGAACATCTGCACATTCTTGAAGAATGCATGATGATTGCCACTCTTGTTAGTAGATGGCCTTAGTATTGGCCTCGGTAAGGAGTAGTTCAGCTCAAAACCCAACCCACAACGCACCAACCTCTGTCCAGCCGCGGCCAGGCGCTATCCATTTCTGCAGCTCCTCTACCAGTCGTTGCAAAACGTACAGAAAACAACGCAAAATGAGCTTTTAAGTCTCTTTAGTGGATGGGCCAGCTTTTGAACTTGCTCAGAACCAAGTTGGCAAGGCCCATTGTGTCAAGTCCTTCTGGAGCTTGGCACAGGCATCGAGGATAGCACTAACCTGACGTCCCACTTGCTCGACAATCGAAATTCAATTTCATATTGAACGATGTCAACCCATCGTTCACTATAGTGTTGTAATTAAGCTGGATGACAGTCATGTCTGAAGAAAAAGGATAAGCCCGAATCTTCAGACAACAAACCAACCTGTTTAATGTTGCTCTTCACATCTTTCTATGGGTTTGAAGGGTGAATTGTGATGGGTTTTCCAGAGTTTTCGCTTCATGGCCAGTGGCAACCTCCGAACCTGAAAGTGCACTGGCCACCACGTGTGTTGCAAAGTGGACCCACATCTCAGTTGTTACGTCGATGTGTGTTATGTTTGCTGTTTGCTGTTTGTTTTGCTGTTTTGCCCAAGTTACAACAGTTTCAGATGTCACACTGCTGAAGGTGCCCATGACACCTGGCAGGATTCGGAATGCCGCGGTGTTACCACATCGACTCTTCGAAATGGGAAAAAACAAGTAGGAACAAGTGCCACGCTACTAGTAACAGGTGCCTTACTAGTAGTAACAATGTTTGCTATTAGAATTAAAAATAAATTAGAATTAATGTAATTCCAATTTGTTATTAACTTTATTTTAAAGCACTTGTTATTACTAGTAAGGCACTTGTTATTACTAGTAAGGCACTTGTTACTAGTAGCGATGCACTTGTTCCTAGGAGCTTCCTAGTAGCACTTCGTGCTTTTTTGGTCAGTGCTCTTTGCCTCGCCAGCTGAAGTCTCCAGTGGTTTTTGGAAGCCGAAGCTGAATCTGATCCATCTGGAAGTCTTCCTTGGCGGAAATATACAAAATGGACAGGAAGTTCGACCAGGACCTCAAAATGAGGACATCATGTCTGCGTCGCTGTCAAATCATCACAGTTTTCATGAACTGTTCTGCACCTCAATCTTCAACAGGTCTAAAGGTCTAATGGAAAACAAAAACACAAAATGCATGTTTCTGTTGTTTTCTCTTTCTGTTCTGTTCATTTTGTCACCGGACCCCACAGGACTAAGTGGCCGCAATCTTCCGCAATGCCATGGTGCAAGCTTGAAGTGCTTTGGTGTCAATGCCTTGACCCACCTGTCGATCTGGTCCACATTGTTTACCCCAATTTGTCCGAAACTGTAGTTTGTTTCACGAAAAGGGCAACTTGTCTCTTTCGTCCTTTCATTGTTCTTCTCTTTTTCTCAGTTAAGCCTACTTAATGGAGCATAGAATGACGCAGGGTCCGTAGAGTGTCGTGGGAATCCAAGTTATTCACTCAAGTCACGTGATTCAAGCAATGCATTCAAATGAACGATTCAATGCGATCGACCTCGAGGCCAGTGTGCTCCAGAAGTACCGAACCATCATCATGGACCCTGCAAAGCAGAAACATGCAGAAGATAGAAAAAACTTCAAGACCTCGAGATCTTCTTGATGAGTTGTCTGAAAAGTTTTACCGGCTCATGGGCCAGACCCGCAATCATCATCTCCAGCAAGTATGTTGTGAGAAGAAGTGAAAAGTCAGAACTGACTCCAGACTAACCTCCACTATTCCGTGTTTCAATCTGCCTAGTTTGCCAAAACATCTACGAACCAAATCAATCATGCGCTCAAGAAGCCTGAGCTGTTCTGCGTCCAAGCCTCGTAGATTCTGATGGCCACAACTTAAGCTTACTTCGTTCACTACTTACTTGAAATTCCACCTCTCCCGAGATAAGAAGAACAACATATTGTAACTTATTTGTTTGTTCAGTTTACATACCTGAGAAGGGAGGGACGAAAGCCAGCCTCCGCAAGAAGACATCAATATGGTTATGGGAGGTGAATTCGAGAGCACACTGGAACCTGTCAGGCACGGAAAAATAGAAGGCAGAGGTGGGAAGTCGCAGTAAGGGCCGATATGACAGGCTCTCCATTCACAGCTGGGGGGTGGGGTGCCCCTAAGTAACTGAGGGGCGCTTGCCCTGCTGTTTGTCTTGTCTTGTAGATGGAGTCATAAACTCGGCGCGCCGCCAAGAGCAAGTCATGGAAATCTACTACAAAGATGATGTAATTGCCTAACATCGAGCAAAGATTGCTGTGGAGATCCCATCGCCCAGGCTACCGGCTGGCTTTTGCAAAACTATATATTTATGTGTGTGTAGACATATACCATATCATACCATACCATATAATATATATATATATATATCGGGGAAACGCGATTGGTCGCCCCAGCGTTTTGTGGCATTTTGCTTCTAAGACAGCTTGGCTGCTGGCCAAGAGCCACAGGCAGCATGGACTTGAAAAGCCTCCATGATAAGTGACATGGGCAGCTTCATGTCAGCTCCCACATAGGTCTGTACAACATAGTCTGCTACTTTGCTGTTCAACTTGTCTTGTTTCACAGCTGTGCTTTTGGAAGATGTGGACCTCCAGACTTCCTCTTGTCCTTCAAACTCCCTGCCTTGGCTTTCACCCCAGGTCTAGCTCCCCTTTTCCACACTGTTTTGCACGGCTCTTTCTTGGCGATTCTGGGCGTCCTCCTCTTTGTAGATCCAAGCTTGGATGCTGGCCTACCCACACGGATGCTTACCTTGCCCACAGCAGTCTCATCCACGGCGTAGCGTATTTCTTTGCAACCAACTTTGTTGATATTATTGTGCTCCATGTAGGACTTGAGGCATGCATGGTAGAGATTCTGCCACTGATGGATGGCATAGTCCCCAGTCCCATGTGCATCACGCAACTCTTCATTCATTCGCTTCAGCTTTTCATTGCACTTCATGAAAACCAAAAAATGCAAGAAGGCCACAAGGGATTGGCCTCTGACACCAGCAAGGGCTGGAACAATAGCAGTCTCGCGAAAATGCCCATGGGAGAAGTTCTCAGTGCAAACCCAGAAATGGTTATTGTCTGAGTCACCCCTGCGTAGTGTGCATGAGGCCTTGCAACGTGAACACCTCCATGTCTTGAGCGTGCACCATCAAAGCCCTCGTTGAGTCCTGTAGATCTTGGACACCATGAAGGGATAAGGGAGCGTACATGATGCTTCTGGAAGGCCGCGCTGACTGAAATGTTCATCTCTGATTCCCTTGCGAAATGTATTTAAGTCCATTGCAGAAGCACAGCTGGAGATAAAGTCAAGGCCAAAGCTAGCCAAAATGGCTGCAAGAAAAACTGCTTGAAAAAGAACGTGGTGGAGGGCGGTGAAGCACACCGTACCCCCCCCCAAAAAAAAGAATGAATAAAACAACATATTATATATATAATACTCATTTCTTTTCCGAGGCGGAAATGGCTGCCTCCATGTTTGGGGGGATTGCTGTGAGTAGCTGGCATGTGCAGAGCGAGCAGAGCTCAGTACTGCGTCCAACTGGATCCATTAGATCCAGTTGGGGAGGGGTAGGAGAAGGTCTACTCCATCTGACACATTGCGTTCTATCCAATGGAGCTCGTTTGCTTTGCAAGGACCTATCACTTTTCACATCCCGTTGTCCCCCCTTTCCTGTCCTCCACATGAACTCCCACCCCAGGTCGAAGACTGTTTGAATGGCCTCCTAAGCCCCTCATGATGCTAATGATGCACTCTTCGGGGTCGATTACATCACTTGCATCACAACACCCCAAAACACATAGATTTTCTCTGCTTTTCGGACCGCCTCTTCTTTTGGCTCTCCCCCACCAGGCTCTGGCCATATTGTTCCCCTATGCAACACCCCCCCACACCCCCTAATACTTAGCCTAGCCTATCGGCTGGCTTTCGTAATTGCTCAATTAATTATTCAAGAATAAGTGTTCTCTCCTCTCTCTCTCTCTCTCGCTCGCTCCCTCGCTCGCTCGCTCGCTCGGTCGTTGGTTCGTTCGTTCGTTCGTTCGTTCGTTCGCTCGGTCGGTCGGTCGGTCGTTCGTTCGTTCGTTCGTTCTTTCTTTCTTTCTTTCTTTCTCTCTCTCTCTCTCTCTCTCTCTCTCTCTCTTGAGGATCGTGGTTTGCGCCTGAGGAAGCACTTCTCCATGAAGGTGTTTGGCTCCAACTGATAGCGGGATCCCATACCTTGACATCCAAGCTGCTTGATCAACCGCCAGTTCTTTTTATGAAAACAAAGTATCAAAGTGTGCAGATTCAAGTTATCCAAGGTTTTGACCGCTTTGTTTCATGTTTTTCCTTAAGGGCCGAGGGGCAATACAGGCCTTTCTTCCGGTAGCCTTGGAAGCGTGGTATTGCTCGAGTCCAAAGACCGAAGCGCTTACAGCGGCTAAAAGAAAAGAGGCTCTTGTTACTAGTAGCTTTATGGTTCCCAGTAGCGATGCCCTTTGTTACTAGTAGCTAGATTTGTTACTAGTAGCTTCTAGCTACTAGTAACTACTAGTAGTAGTAAGGCACCTCGTCACTAGTAGCGATGCCGGCGACGCCCTTGTTACTAGTAGGGAGAGTGGATTTAAAGGCAACTTCTTCTCGACAGGCCTTCACCAAGCAAAGTAAGCAAGGAGAAGAAGAGAAAAGGACATGTCTAAAGAAACTCAGAACAGAGTGTTAACATAATACAAATTTGCCCAGGTACGGCTCTGGCTGTTAAAGTCCTTCACTGCTTTTCGGGTCTCCTCATAAGCAACCTTTGCCTTCAATCTTTGCCAAGCCTGAGCAAGAACCGCCGCCACATCCAGCAATTCAGCTCAACACTCTTTGGGCCTATTATTAAATTCTTATTGTTACTACTAGTAAGGCACCTGTTACTACTAGCGATGCACCTGTTACTACTAGCAACCGAAAGTAACGATCAACTTTATCTGGCCGCGGCCGCGGGCTCCTCCCGGGCCTTCTGCATGCCTTCGGCTAAGTTCAGTTCCTGCACTTCTACAGGATCTCGGCCCACAGCTCGTGCCACCTGAAGGAACTCAAACTCAAAGCGAACACTCAACTGCCACTGCAACCTGTGGCTTTGCTTGGATTGTCTGTCAAGTTCAGGAACCCGACGAAAAGGCGAACAGCGCCTGCTCCATGATGGCCTCCATGATGAAAGCTCCTTCGAAGTCACCAGGCGCCTCAGGGTGGAAAAGTCGCTGAGAAGCTGAGTCGCAAGGAGTTGAAGCAAAGGTTAACAGCATCAGGAACTTAGACTATGTGCTACTAACGCCTTTTAGCAAACGCTTGAAAACGTTCAATGTGTGTCAGCCCCCTGAGTCACCCGGGTCCGTGAATGGTAGGCTCTACATTCACTGCCGGACGGTCCGCCGTTCAGTTTGGGTGATCTCATGCAAGGAGCTCGCATCCAGGTGTTCACTGGCAGGTTTGTGATGACACCTCAGAAACATGAACAATCATTTGACATGACGGTTCATTGCAGTGGACCCCGGGCCTTTGCAGTGAAGTTGCGCGTGGGGGATGTTGTAGCAATTCACCTGGGTGCCAACAGTCACATCTATCCGTGCTGCTGAACAAAAAGGGTTTCAAGGTGTTCCAAGAATGTTTCAAACAAATAAGGAGCCACCTTGGAGTTGTCGCAAAGGATGTGCTGTACTAGCTGTGTGCTATGTGTGCTATCGCCAAGGCACACTGGACGCTTGGGAGAAGCCCAACATGTCCGTTCCCACGTTCTGCAGCACTTCCTGCAGCTTTGCATCCGACGGACGAACCCTGCTCTTTAGCCCCTTAATGCCCTAGGAATTGAACTGACAAAGAGACGAAAGCCAATGTGTCTTGTGAAGATTGTAAGAACCTTCAACGACCTTCATTCCCTTTTCACTCCTCCTGTTTCACAACTTGGTCGTCGCAAAAGTTTTCAACTTTTTCTATCCCTTTCTTCCTGATTCTCTCCCTTTTCATTTCCTCTCCTCCCCTTTTGCTTTTCTTCTGTCCTGTTTGAGGCTCACAATCTTCCCATTCTCATGGCTGAGATCCCACGAGGCATCAAAGGGAGCTCGGCCACCAAAGGCACGAAAGTCCAAAGTCCTCAAAGAAAAAGGTCACGAAATGATTTCGGAAGAAAGGAAAGGGGAAGAATGTGGTTGTAGGGTACTCAGTGGGTGTCAGTGGGGTCTTGGTGTGGCATTTTTGCGGCGTGGGTTGTTATGATCTAGGGCACTGTATCAGGACAGCTGAACGTCCCACATCTAACTCCAAAGGGGCGACTTGAATGTTCAAGAACAAAAGAAAAATATGTGGGTATCCTTGCACGGGAGCGAGCATGTTTTTGCACCACGTAACGTTGCCTAAACCGGAACTCTTCTACTGAGCTCTGCTGCACTCCTGTCCATCTGTAGCAGAACCGGGCGCTTGCTTTTCAGCACGGCCACACCGCAAGCCCCACAGACAGGAGCAAAAAGCATTGCCTCTCGGGGTGTTTCTGCTCTCTGCTTCCATAACTAAGCAAGTTTGCTCCGGGAAAGTTGAATTGAAGCACATCAAGTGAGACTACTGGTTCACCATGGAGACACTTTTTTGACAATTCAAATCAATTCAATATACTTAAAGAATAACGATCAAAAGTTTAAACTGCACGAAGACCACGGACACCAAGATAGTGTGCTGTCAGCTTTGTACCCCGGACATCCCTTGTAAGGCTATGAACAAACCTTCGGCATGCCGACCTTTCCACCATATGCACCACCGAGGCGTTGGTTCTGCACAGTGATCTTGCCTTGACACTAGCTGGATAAAAGGAGGCAAGGGTCAATTGAATAGTCTGCTCAAGCACAGCATGAACGGCATTGGATGGCTGGGAATTCAACATACAATGGACACGCAAACACAATCAGAAAGCAGCACTGGCTGAAGAAAGGCCCCTTCACCAGCTTGAGTCTGGAAACTCTTGGGCATGTTGAGGGTCTTTGCCATCTGAGTCTGCGCCCAATCCAACCTCGAAAACATCAACTTTTTCACACGCTCAGCTTGCGCTCAGGGCCAGGTAGCGTTTGGCAGGCCGTGTTGAAGACCAAACCTGAGCCGCAGAAAGACAGATGTGTTGGATCCCTCAGGTCTGATCTAAAGGAAAAGGGAACGCTAGATTGGAGGCCGCTATTAGGTGCCAGTCGAGCTTCTGTAACTCCTTGCAGGTTGGTTGTAGATCAATCTATGCGTTCGACGTTGCAGCAAAACCGGATGCTACTCCTCGGCCAAGCCACCTCCGTTGCAATCATGATATGCATAGGTTGTCTGTGTCTCCAAGTACAAGTGCTTCTGCCCCGAAGATACCAGTCGCCCTGGAGTGCCAAGAGATGAGAGAAGCATCGGGATAGACCACACCTTTTCCGAATCAGAAGTTTCTAGCTAGTAGTAATGCCCTTGTTACTAGTAGCGATGCCCTTGCTACTAGCTGTTAGTACTATTGTTAGTATCATGATTACTGTTTTTCTTTTCTGTTTTTAAGAGATAGGGTACTAGTGTATATATATTATATACATATGTCAATGCTGCATCATTGCACCGCAATGACTTGTCCTTGAAGTGATTTGATCCCCGGCCTTGCAGCGTCTGTGAGCCAGTGACCTTCGCTCCCACGCTCAAGAGGCCGTGTCGCTCCTGGCGGACGCCTTTGAATCAGCACGTACGCTTCTTGCTCCTAGTAGCGTCCTTTGCTCCTAGTAGTGAGGCCAGGAGCCCCTAGCAGCGTCCTTTGCTCCTAGTAGTAAGGCCAGGAGCCCCTAGTAGCGTC